GGTAAGCAGAAGATAGTATGCGTCAGGATGTGTTTTTTAATTATGCGAATTTTATTTGTTACGTCATGGTAATGTTAAATTACGTTGCGTATTTGTTTTCATTCGTTATTTCCACGTGCTTTATGTTTTATAAACTTTAAATGGATGAAAATAAAGATAATAGTAAGTTTACATGTTATAATAATTATATCATTCGAAAATAATATTTTTATAAAATAGATTTAAAAATATAAAAGATTATAAATTTTTTGATTCGGGATAACATTGGTTAAGGTAATAAAATTATTATAATGGAATGAATCAATTTTTACTACATTTGTGCCAGTGACTAAAAAATATAGCTATCGTAGCTTTTTTTGTAAATTACATTCTTTTATATTATTTTCTTTTTTATATGAAAAAGAAATTAATATAAGAGAATGTAATTTACAAAAAAAGCTACGATGATCATCTGAGAATTTCAGAAAAAAATGGAGCACTCTATTCAAAATGATGTGCAATAGTTGTGTAAAAAATTTTTTTTTCTCCCCCCAGTCAGTTATTATATAATACAAGTTATAAAATAAACTTTCATCTTAGCTATTTTAGCTGCAGGACAAATAATGGGTATAGTAAAGTTCAAATTATTTTCAATTTTAATACCAAGTATCTTGGTCAGGTACTTGCAAGTACCTGACCAAGATACTTGGACAAAAAAAAATTTATATATTAACTTATATATTAAAAAATTTATATATTAAAATTTATATATTATTATATATTATTATATAATATATATTATATATTAAAAGACAAAAAAAAATTATATACTAACATATTTTTTGAAAAATCTTGGAAAAGGAAAAAGTATAACTTTGTGAATTTACCAAGCTTGGTAAATTCACAAAGTTATACTTTTTCCTTTTCCAACATTTTCCAAAAAATATGTTAATATATAAATTTTTCAGTGATACTCAAGTAATTTTATTAAAAGTTTGTAAAATGTATGCCCATTCATTTACTAGCATTTAGTTTTAGACCATATTTACTAACCAGCCTCAATGCTTTTAAATTGTAAAGTTATTTATATTGTTGTTTATAGCTAACAGAAAAAGCCATACATTTATTTATAATGATGAAAATGAGGCCTTTTGTTTCATAAAACAACATGAATTAGAGTACACAGTTCGCTATGCAACATGGTTCACACCCAAAGGGTTTGGTAGTACAGGTTAGAACCTTTTTTTTATTTACTTTATATCAATTATAAATGCCTAAGTTAAAGAACTTTGAATTTATTTACTAAATTTATGTTATAGATAGAGTAAATACATTAACCAATTAATTTACCAGGACATTCTTTAACTCCAAATTTCCTTAAAAGTGAAAATAATTTGATTTATCAAGGAAGATTAATAGAAAGCATTAAAGGTTAATATAAACAGGAAAGATTAATATAAAGCATTATTAAGCAAAAAATGTACTGATAATGACAAAAAAGCATTTAGAGAGTAGGTTATAAGTGCATTAATATTTTCATTAAATTTCCCCCTAGGTTAGCCCTTTAGGCTAGAGAGAAGGTTTTTTCTTCTCAAATTTAGAAACGAGAAAATATAAATTTGCAAATGTTCCTTTTTTATGTTATAATACAAATGTTAAATAACTAACAAAAAAAAATAATATGAAAGTTCATGTTAAAGGTTATTGCCTTAGGAATCAAATAAAAATGGCTAAATTTTGGGTTAACTTTGATGTCAATCTTTAAGTTATTGCAGGTTTGAGTTATGGAGAGATTTATATAAGAAAAATCAACAGGAATTCCAAAAAAATTTGAGTTACTGGAAGTTTGAGTTACCAGGGGTTTGAATTATTATAAATTTACTTTATTTTGAATTATTTAAAACAAAATATAGGTTTGTTGAATATATAATTGACTAATCACAATTGGTGTAAAATAAATTGTGTTATATCTAGATGTTCATAGTAAAAAGCACAAAGTGTTATGGGAAAGTGAAGGATGCTATGCAAATGTTCCATTTATGGTTTTAGCATGCAAGGTTTTGGATTGCTCACATGGAATAGATCGTAATGATGCAGCAAAGAAAGCATACAAGAATAAGACAAAAACAAAGGTAAATTTTATTATCAATAAAAAAAGATACAAATAATAAATTAATCATTAATAAATAACTGTTATTAATGTACTTATTTTATAATTTTAGATAACTGAACACTCTTGTATGAGGAGTTATATTAATGTGCAGGACACAAAAAAATTTGAATGCCCAGCCCAAGTTATTTTGAAGGAAATTATATACTTCAAGGATTACATGGTAATTTTAAAGTGATTTACCAAGGTGGTAAGAATTTTTGGTACTATATATAATGCACCAACATTAAAAAAATTTTAAGAATAGCATTTTAAACATGTTTTGTAATTTATAATTCACGCCAATATTAGAACTACTTTTAATTCAACGCAAAAAGAGTGCAAAGCCATATAAGTAAAACACACTCGCAGCGTTGTTTTAATAAGACAAAATTGAGATGTAATTTATTTAAATGCAGGTCTAGACCGGAGTTTTAGTAATGCTTATTATGTTTCATTTGAACATACTTCTATCCATGTAACTTTTTTTTTTTGGACATATCACTGCATAAACTGTATAATTTTTTTGGGCATGTCACTGCATAAACTGTAACATTAATTACCTCTTTTTTGTTTATTTCCTTTTTCATAATTTTAAAGCTTGCTGAACCCAACACATGGAAAAAGAGAAAAATTTCTTTAAAAATAAAAAATTTGCTCAAGAACAAGAGCGACATTGGATTCACTGAGAAGCGAATTAAGCTAATTATTGATGACATTTCAGAACACAGAAACCATGCTGTTAGAGAAGTAAGTTAAATTTTATTATTAAATTGTTTATAAAGTAAATGTTTTGAAAAATTTAGAAATTATTATTTTTTTTTTCAAAAAGAATTTTTGATAAATATTTAGCTATTCACTTTTAAAGTCATGTAGCTGTTGGGTATAAGTTAAGTATTATAGTATAGTATACTTTAGTTAATATAGTTACTATACTTACCAAATTGTAAGATGATATTTTGCATGGATAATATTGTTTAATATGTCAATTCAAATACACCAAGTATTATCATTAGTGGTATACCACTGTATTGCAGTTGAGGTTGATGTGAAAATTAAAGTGTTCAAAATGTTTATTATAAATTATTATAATAAACATTTTGATAAATTATTATAATAAACATTAATTATAAATTATTAAATCATAATTTTACAAATAAAATAGCATGTTTATGTATTGGGCATCGCTGGAAATTTTATTTATCAACCTATTTTCTTTGCGTATCAATGTTTTTGTATTTTATACCATTATGTTGTCTGGGACGGATTCATTTATTGATGACATCATTGTCAATAATAACATAATGTCAAGTTGCAGAGTTCAAGAACTCTTGAAAAATATGGCTTGGATTCTAAGCTGCCAGAAAAACTTGTTGGTGGGCGTGTGCTTGGATTGCGAGTGTACAAACAATGCAACCAAGTGCGCTGGAAACGTGACAACATACTCAAAGTTCCTGAAGGAAAAATGACGCGTCCGCAAGTCTTTTCTTGGTGCGGACAGATGACTGGACATTTTCCAATAGCAAATTGGTTGTGCCTTTGTGCAGCTATCTAAAAAGGGTTTCGAGTAGTTGTGGATGGGACACTTTGGTAAATGATGGTGTTGTCAAATTAGTAAGCAGTTTAAATGAAAGACTTACAAAGGAAGATCCGGTTCATGGGTCATGGAACGTAAAAAACGCTTCTGAAGTAACAGTGTGGTGCGATGCAAGCAGTTTAGCTGTTGGCATAGTTCTGGAAGTGGCTTGGGAAATAGTAGAAGACTGCTCGTGGCTGAGAAAACAAGATGATGCGGCTCACATTAACCTTGCAGAGTTAGAAGCTGTGATAAAAGGAATCAATCTACCAACAAAATAGGGATTCGAATGTATTACCATAAAGTGTGACTCGGCTACTGTTGTTGGCTGGTTGAAATCCTTAATCATTGGTGACAAACCCATTTCTGCTGACTTAACCCGGAAAAGTTTTAATTGTATACCACACTCCTTCACCTTGTGAAGGAGTGCGGTATACAATTAAAACTTTTCCGGATTAAGTCAGCAGAAAATAAAGCCGATGCTCTTATGAGGGTACCACAGAATTGGTTGCATTCAAACCATTCTGCAATGACAGCAAATCTCGTACCGCCTGATGTGAAGTCGTTTCATAATCTTCATCACTTTGGAGTAAATTGAACCCTTTATTTGATGAAACAGACATATCTGAAGGAGAAAGTTTGTAGAAAAGATTGAATCAGTCTTCAAGAGTTGCGAAAGATGTTTATCAGTAGATCCTGCTCCAATCAGATGGGAAGAAGGAAATCTTGAAGTTGGAAAGAGCTGGTATCGTTTAGCTATTGACGTTACCCACTATAAATCAGAGATTTATTTGTCTATCATTGACTGTGGCAAAAGGAGCAAGTTTGCAATTTGGAGGAAGCTACAAAACGAGAAAGGAGCAACAGTGTGTTTTCATCTAGAAGAAATATTTCAAGAAAGAGGACCTCCGTGGCAAGTTCTTCTTGACAACAGCAAGACCTTTCGCTCAAAACTTGTTGGTGAATTATGCGCAGAATGGGGAGTGTCCATCCTGTTCATTGCGCTCACAAGCCAAATGGAATTGTTGAACGTCATTATCGCACAATGCATGGCAGCAAGAAGTGGAAAAGATCTGTTAAAAATGGTATATTGGTATAACGTGGCTCCCAGAAAAAATGGCAAGGAAACATCGAAGGAAATACAAAGCTATATTTTCCTATGAATGGAAACCACACACAATTTTTGACAAAACTAACAAGGAAGTTCTCCACAACTACACACAAGGACAAGAAGTATTTGTAAAACCAACTGATTCAAAATGTACTAGCGAATGGAATAGAGGAAGAGTCTCAGATGAAGGACGAGGAGTTTCGGTAGAAATCAATGGATTGCCGAGACACATGTCAGATGTCCGTCCAGCTCCCATTGTAGCTAACTTGTCTACGAGAGAACCGGAAGAACCCACCGCGAACAACCTGAATCTCAGAAGATCGACGTGTGTGCGGAAGTTTTTGAATAAGTAAGCCGACTTTGTGATCTAGAGAAACTATTAAGGTGTTGCGTCAGAAGGAATGTTGTAGGCGTGTCGTATATATTATATTGTACATAATGTTTATACTGTTTATTATACTCTTGGGGGTATTTGCAAATGTATATATATATTGAGTAAAGATATTCAGAAAGACAGTAAGAAAAAACAAATATATTTTATTATTACAGAATCTTAAAATCTACAGATTTTTAAGTCTTCTGTCAAGCTTTCTTGCTTTTCAATTTTACTTTAAGTTTTCTGTCACTTCTAACTTAAACTGTATATACTATGTTGTTGCAGTCTTGTCGGTATTGAATTAGGTAAAAGAAAAGGTGTGGCATGCAGCTTTGTTGGTTTTAAATTAGGTAAAAAAAAAAAGGATGAAAAAAAATGTATTTTTAATTTTTTACCTTGCTGGTATTTCACAGGAAATTGATCCTAGATTATCTAAAAAAATAATAGATTATGCCAATGAAGTAAAAAGTATACACGAAATGAAACGCCTACTAAAAATCTTTGTTAAAAATGACATGTTTGATAAAACATCTATGCCTGATTTAAGAAATAGGCGATTTTTCCCTACCAACAACATTATTCGATCGCATATGGTACAAGCACGAAAGAAATTACAACTTGCTTTTATTGACCAGGAATGCCTTCTTGTTAAAATAAAAACATGGCAAAACGAGGATCCATCAGTAAATATTTTTTTTCGACCTAAAAACAACTACACATTAAATAACATAGCAGACAAAATACATAAAAATGAAGACATTAATGAAGAAGAAGATGATTTGAAGTTTACTGAAAATGATTCAGAAAAATCACTATTATTTGTTTACCAATCAGAATGGCAATGCAAACTTGTGCGTCGATATGGTAATGATATAAAATAATTTAGATGCAACCTATAAAACCACCAGATATATTTTACCAATTTTTTTTATAGTAGTCAAAACAAATGTTGACTACCAAATAGTTGGATGCTTTATTACAGAAAATGAAACGAAAAGAGCAATCTATGAGGCATTGCATGTTTTTAAAAAAATGAATCCAAACCTTTCTCCTAAATTTTGCATGACAGATTACTGTAATGAGGAAATTGATGCATTGGAAGAAACTTTTCCTGGTAAGTTTTTTGAATAGTTAGAATTTCAATAAAGTCTCCGTGTTTACAATAGTTCTTTGGTTGTTATAACAGAGGGTGGAAAATTATAAAAAGAAGGTGCAAAAAAGTTTTTGGTTTTTGTTTGCGCTGGGTTTAAGTTGATTTACGCTTTTTGTTTAGATTGTAAAGTTTTGGTCTGCGATTTTCATCGGGAACAGGCCTGGGAGCGTTGGTTGGTAAAAGTCTCAAATGGTTGTGCTAATCACAAATCCAATATCCTGCTCAAACTGAGAAAAATCGCTCATTCAACAACTATAAATGCTATGGAGTTAGCTGTAATGGATTTGAAACAATCTGATTTTTGGAATAACGAAAACTTTTTAAAGTTAAGAAAGTATATAGAAACTTATTGGTTACCTATCAAAGAGGTATTATCTAATAAAAGAAAATTATTTAAAAAATTAATTACATTTGTTTTTTAACAAGTTAAACAAATTTAATTGAATAAATTCAATTCTTTTAATTATGTATCAGCCTAAAATATTTTTTTATATATTTCAATTTTTCAGCGTTGGGTTTGGGCATACTGTCAAAACCGCCTACTTGTTAATTTAAACACTAACAATGGAGTGGAGAGGCAAAACAAATCTTTTAAATATTTTTACCTCCAACGTTTTAAAAATTATTCATTAACTGGAATGCTAACAATCTTAATTGAAGAGTTTTTTATAGATAAATATCAAAGGTAAACGACTTGTTTTATATTATTTTAAATTATTAAACTTATTTTTGTTAAAATTATTTACAATTAAAAAAAGTGTCATAATTTTATAACGAGTATTAAAAGTATATAATTGCTTTAACTACTGATTTATAATGATATTTCATTATGTTCAGTTTGTTTTTTAGCTATACTGAAAAGAACTTCAAAATGGACTCGAGGTATCGTCGATACGCAAAAATAATACCAAATTTTTTAATAAATAGGCCTCGTGCATTGGTCAAGCATTGCCTTCAGAAAATCAGTTTAGCTGGAAGCATTGATTTATCTAAAGTCACAATGATAAACCATGGGGTTTTTTCCATTAAAAATAATAAAGAAAACTACCAAATTAATTTTGGAAATGATAGATCTATGCCTAACTGCACATGTCCTTCCTGGCGTTCATCTTGCTTTCCCTGCAAGCATTTTTTTGCCATTTTTAGAAAGTTTCCACTCTGGCAATGGGATGCATTGTCAGAACTCTATCTTAATTCACCATTCTTAACATTAGACCATGAAGAAAATACTTTACCTGATAAAATAAATTGTTTTCAAAATAAAGAAACTTTGTATGCAACAAATGAATGTGACATTAGTTTACCAAATTCTAAAAATCTAGACTTGTCTGAAGAAATAAATGCCAAAAAAAATGTGTAATATTGATTTAAAAAAAGAAAGTGTTTCTGCTGGGGACTGTAGGGAGCTCATTGGTTTAATTAAAAATCAATTGTATGAGGTCAACAAAAGTACCAGTCTTTTTACAGAAGTATATAGCCTGTTACTGAAAGCGTCAAAGCTTCTACAAGAAAATACTACCCACGAGAGTGGCATACCTATTATCAGCAACAACATGTTAAAA